AGGAGAGACATCTATGTGTGTTTGGAGAATGTGTAGTGTATGAAACAGTGAAAGCATTTTTTTATGTATGTGTGATTGTCAGTGAATGATTAAGTGTGAATATTGTGTTATGATTGTCAGTGAATGTGATTAAGTGTGAATTATTGTGTTATGATTGTCCAGATTGATTGGTGTTTGTCTTCTTTCCTCATGGACAACTTGGTTGATGGACCAGATACGGTTGATTGTCCAGATACGGATGGTCTAGTGTACTTGTTGGAAGATTTCTATTCTTTTTCCAAAATTATACTGGTGGGCTAGCTAGTGTACTGGTGGATCCACGTGATAAGCTGACAAAAGTATATAGAGAATAGTTATTATATATATTTAATCTTAAAATTTGATAATCCAGTATAATTATGAAAAAAGTATATAGAGAATAGTTATTACATATATGAAGGTTGCGATAAATCGGGTTGATGTGCTACTATTGTTGGGGGTATCAGTTGTATGCTGCTTTATAACTATTTTCTTCTCCGTTTGCGCCATAAGAGTACACAGTACTAGACGAGGAGTATTCTTTTATCGGACTCATAGAGACGATATAAATATATATATAGAAATAGTAACTCCACTAACTAAGGAAGGAAGCATATTGTAGTAAGGTAGTGTTATTTTTCTTGAGGATATTCAGCTCTCTTATCTCGCTAATAATGATGTATTTGCTTCTCTTTATGGTTCACATTTATCGCAAAACAACATAACCATTTACTCTTTGGCGGAACATTTGATCATCAAATGTCAAACACGCTGAGAAATGGGAAGGATTGATCGAGAGAACGCAGGATTGGTGATTACGCGAGCGCGGGACAAACCACGTTCTTCCAACTTACGGATATGCAAGAATGTATAGTGACGTCTCATTCGACTCTTTCCTCAAGTTCATGATTGTAGTACAATCTTTAACATAGGAAAGGTCTAAGAAACCTCGGTCCTTATGTGGCGACTATGGCTGAAATCGAAGGTCTAGAATGCACACAAGAATAAAGCCATCATCACTCTCAGACTCAAAGGACATTGAAGAAGCCAAACAGCTTTCCCAAACAAAATTGATCGGACTAATAAAAACTCAAATCTTTTTTGTTCAACTCTCTAAATAAAAAAATAAAAATTGATAAGCCAATGGGACTAGTGTCAATAAGCGCCACGTGTAATATTTCTATTAGTTAATAAGAATCAAAACACAATTTTTTGTTCTTTCTGCTAAAGATCAACGAAATCCCTAAAAGCTTTGATGAACAGAGACGAAATCACCTGATAAAAATTGAAACTTTAAAATCTATAGAGATCTTTAACTTGAGAGTTTGAGAGAGCTTCGAGTTGTTTCGTTTCCCTAATTTCTTCTTTTCTCTGAGCATCAGCAAAAATGGGGGTTTCGATGTTGGATTACTCATGGAGTTTTCGGTTAAAGCTCTCTCCTTTACGAACCCCAAAACTCGTGAGCTCGAGCTTTGGTCATTCAATTACGGCATACAAGTACCCAGCTCGAGCTTTGAAGTGCAGGTCTGTTTTGTCTGATGAGAGAAGAAGTAGCCCATGTGTGGTAATAATAGTCTCAGCTTTCAATGTATTGTTTACAATTAGTTTGATTTCTAGTCTTGCACATTCATATGAGAAAGAGTGAGACTGTATTGGTTTTTGCAAGTCCGTAGGAGAATTAGAAACCGAAAAGATCGAAAAATGACTCCATGAAAGGTTTTAGTAAAGTTACATGACAAATTGTAATATCTCTTGTTAAAGTCTAGGCCTTTTTTATGCTCAATTGAATGAGAAGGAAGTAAAATCGCACTGTCTAGCTTGTTGAATCTTCGTTGTGAAATTATTACCGGTCTTTCGATATAGGTTATGTGGGCTGTTTATCCTCTACCTTATTCCTTTTGAATGCTCATTGTTTTGAAAGGTTAAGAAAGAGCTAGAGATTTGCTTTGACCTTATACATAGGCTTGGGAGAGGCATTCTGTACTTAGGTTCAGCTAGAATCCCGCAAAACCATTCGTATTACCTTCAAGCACAAGAGTTGAGCAGAGAAGTAAGTATAAGACCCCGTTAAAACGCCGCGAGAACTTTCACAATGTAGAGAGTTTTCAGACTTGTGTAATGTATCAGGCAGCAAATCTTTTGGACTGTACTACATGGTCTGGAGCTGGACCAGGACTTATGGATGCTGTCACTAAAGGTGCTTTAGAAGCTGGGAAACCGGTTGGTGGTATCAAGATAGATAAAGAAGCCGGTGAATGGACCGCATCAAAGTTTCATCCTTATCTCCCTCCTCAGAATTACCATACTTGCAGGTAAAACGTAGCCACACGCACCACTTCTTCTCACTCTGATTGCACAAGAGTGAGTGATTGTAATATGTGGTTTTAGGTTTTTCTCGGCGAGAAAGCATGGATTGGTGGATGCAGCGATTAGAAACAATATTTCTGATAAGACGGCGATAATTGCATTGCCTGGCGGTGTTGGCACGCTCGATGAGATGTTTGAGATTTTGGCATTGATTCAACTCAAAAGGATTGGATCTTTATTTCCAGTTCCATTCATTGTGATGAATTATGATTCTTTCTATTCGAAGCTGTTTGAATTCATGGAGAGTTGCGAAAACTCGGGAACTGTTTCTAAAGGAGAAGTTTCTGCATTGTGGAAGGTATGCAACAACAACTTTGAAGCTTTGACATACTTAGCTGAATTCTATGAATTGCCTTACGGTTCTTCAAAACCCGAAAACGAACTTAATGGAACTGCTCGTGGACCGGTTTCTTAGCTCGTTTTTTCGTTTTCTAACTGTAAAAGATAATACATACCATGATCAACAATTTTTTGAAGCTATGGCTTATGCAGAATATAGATTTGTGTTTGTAATACCGTGAGTGGTGGTTTGTTAGAAGCTATATATAATGTTAATTGTGATAGATTCTATGTTTAACTGTTATTAACAGTCAATTAGTCAAGAATATTCTATAAACACACTTGTTTT